GAGACAGTCCTTGCTGAAGTCCCTTTAGTGCCTTTTACGGCAGACATGACAGCCAATCCTGATCCAGACTTTGCTCACGCTCTGTAGAAAAGAGAAAGTCTGAGCATCACATTAGAGAAAAAGTTAAACAAAATGGTTTCCAATCGAGTACAGTGCCAAGGTTCCGCTACCAAGAGAGAGCGCAAGAGAGGAGAGCATGTTTGAGGTCACATGCTTAAGGACAGATGCACTAACAGTCACAAGCACCACCAGTTTGTACACAGAAACATTTGTTGTCCCTGACAAATATTTGTGAACTTCTTGAAAGACAAGCAGAGTCTGGTTGGGGCTGACTGTCATGTACCCAAGGTAGTGGTAACTAATAGACACTGCATCCCACAGTTTGCTGTGGATGATGGTAAACTCCAAACAGGTAGAAGATGAAAGAGAAGTTCTGGGGGCAGGTGTGCTCCCATGACAGAAGGCGTTCGGGTCAGGTATCTTGCAGACCTGCTCCAGGCTGTGAAAAGTAAATGTGTATTTTTCTAGTCTAAAGACTGGAGATGGTAAGATGTAGGGAGGGGTGTCTCCTTCACTCTTAAAGTAATTTTTTTCAAGATAAATATTCTAAAAATTAAATGCATTGGTTAAGGAGCAGATGGCTTCTAATGGAATGTCTTGCAGGATTTATGGCTAGGTGCTATACTTTATGCAAGCGATTTCTCGTAAATCAGATGATGTCTATACCTGTGTAGCAGGGCCCACGGAAACTGGGCTTAATTGTGTAATAGATGATTTGCCACTTTCTTCAACTATTTGGCATTTCCACACTACAGACTCTCTCCTCTAATTTGAAGACCCGCAATATAAACATTTCAGATAGCGTGGTAACTCCCTAATGAGAAACCTGAGGGTTCAGTTCCAAATAGCAAACACATTTAATGTGTATCCCAGTTGAATTTTCTTTTGCCAATTTATTTTGCAGCTGATAGTCAAATGAGCAGATATCCCCCAACACAACAGCATCTGTGACTTATGATTTTCTTAAATTCGTGCATTTAATCTTAGAAGCTTTTCTATTCCATATGGCTGGAATCAAAGCGGAAGAAAATGCACAAAAGAGATGGATTTTTTCCAAAAGTTAAAACAATTTCTTCCCCCTACCAAAGCAAAATTCCCCAAGTCATAGAACCTGTATAAAATAGATTACATTTCTATGGTTGAATTTGATTTTCCCAACCCCTACAGTTTATTGTTGCTATGGTTACCTATGGAGGGAGAGTATGAAATAGTTCTGGGAAGCTGAGGTGAATCTCAGTAGTCTGTCAGAGTGGTAATTAGGTAGAAGTTCTAGTGTCAGTGGTTGGAGGATTTGAAGTTATTTTAATCTTCAAAGGATTTACATGTCACTCCTTTTAAACCTCTGACTTGAAGAGTTATGGCCAAAAAGGAGAACAATGACTTCTCCATCTATACAAGTTTGTAAACAATTTCTAAGATACCGTATCCTTTGATACCCGCAGGAAAATTTGTCCTCACTACTTGATAACAGTGTTTTAGATATGTAGCAAGGGAGATCCATTAGTTGATTTTTCTTTTTTTTTTTCTTTTTGCTTTTTCGTTGTCTTTGTAACTGGCTAGAACGTCAGTTGCTATTTTTTTCTTTATTCCTGAGATGTTATTTGAGCCTACTTTCTAATTTCATGGTGGAGTTTACCAGCACCAAAGCCGGTCAGCAGACTGTGGGATGCGTGCGACCAAGATGGGCAACCGGTGTACCTTGCTGCATGAGAGCTCCAACTCCAAACCAGAAACTGTTTAGTAAAGTAAAATTGTTTTCCACCACATCTGAGTCGGGGTTGCACGGGTGGGGGTTATACCACTCATAGGGTGTAAACCTGTGGTAGTTAACAGAAACAGCCTGTAAATATCAGGTAAACACAGGGGGTAGGACAATACTTGCTCAGCAGTGCAGAGACTTCAACAGTTAATGCCGAACGCTTCAGACCAAAGAGGAAAAGCCATAGTCACAAACTTACAGCTGTGGCGGGCCAAGCGCAAAGAGCCTTGAGCTGTTAGTATTTACCAGAATTCTTATTTCTAGGCAAAGCCATTGGTGAGCTGGAATGGTTCTCCTCAGATCTATGTCTACAGAATTCTTCTGAGTTTCCAGTTTCCATTTTACTGAACAACTAGACGAACTGCAAAGAAAGGTTTACTCATCCCAAGTATTTACCCCACCAAGTAGCAATGAGAGCGACAGACACACACTTTGCTGCACAGGAGCTACAAAGCCCATGTTGCTGGGTCCCGTGGGAGACAGAGGAAGAGGGCGGCTCGCCCCTAAGGGTTTCTATGGGCCGCTGCTGAGCAGGAGTCCAAGTGGTCCAGTAAGTTCACAAGGCATCCAAGGGGCTGGTGTAAGGCTAAAACGATTAGGGAACAAAAACAAGAACTGGATTTGGGATGTGTTGGATACTTTGGGGATAATACATGGGAAAATATAATTCTTCAATGAAGAAAAAAAGTTCAGCTTGGAAGGCTCACTGCCCGGGCTTAGTGGTACGGTAGTATTAACTCCTCCCTAGAGCATTTTAAGCTCATCGTTTCCTCGTGATTTATTTTTAACATAATTATTTTCAGAACTATGGGTCTGTGGTGACTTAATCACCAGTACTGCTTAGGTAAGAAAAATGTTCTCTATGGCATTACCATAGCTCTACCTGCAAGGTAGTGAGCCACAGGCAGTAACATTTTCTAGAAAAATAACTGTAGTCTTGAAGTCAACCTTGAACATGGTGCTCAATCTCTCTGATCTCAATGTCCTTATTTGTAAAAAGAAGAGAATCCAGGTATTAATGAGAGTGTGCATAAAATGAATCCTGTCGAACTGAATATACTTATGTTTTTTTCTCTACTTTCTAAGCATCTATCTGACCTGTGTAGCCCAGAGGACATCTCTGCTCTGTGGTCACTGGGGAGGCTGTCTTGCCAAGTGGTACCATTTTTTTTCCCAAAGAGACATTGGCAGGTACTCAGCAAAGAGATCTGGAAATGATTTAAATTGCAGTAATTCTTAGCACTGGAAGCTTCGTCATTTGCCATTGGGTCCTTTTAATGCTGGCGAGAGTGTTAGAGTAATGTTAAAACACCGTAAAGGCAGTGAGAACATATGGAGCACTCGCCAGCCATAAGGTTTCAGCAGTAAACAATAGCAGGTTGCTGATACATCAGGGAGAGATGGGCTTACGGTAAATACCTTACCTACAGTGGAGGGCAGGGCATACTGTGCATCATGTACAAGGAACTGGGCAGACAGTTCCTCTTAATGAAAAACTATTCTCCACACCCCTGGACACATTCTAGAAAGTGTACAGCATCTCCTGAGTGAGCCTTAGAGGAACTGGTCTAACAGCCTGGTAGGTTACCCCACCGTAACGGTATCCAATTCATTACTGTGGCTTCTCCATGTCTGCAGGGGGTACCGTGCAGGGTCCTACCGAGCTGATGAATATAGCTTTAATTGACAATGCCACGCCAATACATTTTAATTAGTGTTTGAACAATATAATTAAGTTTTGAATTTATGCACTATTATAACTCTAGTAGTTTGCTGAGCTGAAGGAATGAATACCAATATTAATGAACCTACTAATTGAACCAGTGTGCAGAGTAAAGATGCTGTTGCTTAAACAGTGTCATTGTCACTTGTACAATAATATCAAAGCATTAATTGCAATAAATTAGGAGGCTTATGCATTGAAGAGAAGTTCTTTTTTCTTTTTCCAAATAGACTGTAAAACCTGGCAACCACCAGCCCCCGGGTATGCTGGTATTTCTGCCTCAGATAAGCTCTGATCAGTGAGCTCATTCCTTCCCTCTTTGGAATACTGCTTTTAACTTGGTCTTGTTTCCATATTTCATACTTTGCACTTATAAGTCAGCAAATTAATCTAATTCTTTATGGCCACAAGAAAAGCTGTGTAAACAGCAATGTGATTCTGCTTGCTCTGTGGAGCTATTTTTAGGTTCTTTCTCTTTGGGGTTCCGAGTGACTTGGGGAATGTGAGACTGATGAATATTAAATGATAACATGATGCTGTGTTGTAAGACACTGGCTTCTTAGAAGGCAGTAGTAGATCTACCTGTTGCCTGGATGTAGCTATTTCAGCTTGGATCTCCTAACGCCTGCTTAAATAGCCCGTGTGACAGCAGGTCAACATTAGGAAGTCTGGGGGAAAGATTAATATGTGATAGTCTGAAACTGCTATTTCCAAATGACTCCCAGGAAATCAATACTGATCTTTAGTAAAATGTTAGAGAAAGCAACAAACGTGCTTAGAACTTGTGTCAAAATTTCCATATGGAACAGTCACCTATGCTGGAACGGGAAGGCTCATTTGAGGTTTGTGTTTACATATGCTAGGCTAATACTAGAATGGAAGATATAAAACAATCCTAACACTCAAGTTTTCTAATTAAGGGACTATCTTTTTGTGGCTGAGAACAGACAGTAGGCTGCACTGAAGAGAGGAAATCATCCATCTTTCATAGAAGAGTGCTCTGTTTAACATAATGACTGGGCTCGTGTTGCAACCTTAGAATTTACTTTCAAGAGCATCTTTGATTGTTATTTATCTTTTGCCAAATGACAATTTTTTTTAAATGGTCATTTTTAAGAAGAAAAACATAATTAAAAAGTGTAAGCAGACAGTCTATCAGGAAATTTGGCCTTTTAAAATTGTGTTTATGATTGACATAATTCCTTGGTGTTAGATATTTTTTAAAAAGTAGGAAAATATGTCAATGACAAAACCAAAACCCAACATGCGACCTTGTTAAAAGTCACGGTCATTAAAATTTTATATTATTTTCCATAGTTTGTCTTATTAAAGTCTGCAACTTTATAAATTTGATTCAGTTCAGTGAACAATTTTTGAACATCTATCTGGAGAGGGCCTTAACTTAGATTCCTTGTTGGAGCTTTATTTCCCCCCCTTTAAAAAAACAAAAAGGATATACTTCTCAATGTAAATTCAAAAGCCCCTCTGGAGCCAAAGATGATTCTGAAATTAATTGTTTTTATCTCGATGTCATTAGATTTGACTGTAGACTTTAGATGGTAACCAAAAATCATTTTGCATCTTAGCTTATGGGTGAAGAGAGATTTGTGTTTATGATCTCAAACTGTGATAGTGGGAAGTAAAAATGAATTGGCACACTTATTCAACTAGAATTTTGTTTTGGGAAGTCGCCTCTGAAGTACATTTAGTAGCTTTATAAAGTAGAATCAGGGGTGATTCAAAGGTGCAGAGAAGGTGAACGCAGTTTAGAGTGCTGTCTCCGTGACGGTGCACCTGCCAACAGCCAAGAGTTATTTTCTGTATTTTTTATATTTATTCACCATGCCATTTGCAAGTTTGCATGAATCACTTCCCTACCAAGAGGGTAATGGAAGGGGAGACAAGGAGAATGAGCTAATTAAGGAAGGGCTGCTTTATAAATGGTACCGTCAGAGAGTAGGGAATCCTGGGCGGCTGCATCAATTTGTGTGCGGGGAGGGGTGCTGGGAACTTAGTAGGAATACAGTGTGTAAAGTCAGAAAAGGTAGAGGTCTGGGTTTCCAAGAGCTTATGGTGTAACAGTCAAAACAGGGAGAGAAAAACTACTGAATGTACACTAATCTGACATATTCTGATGACAAAAATAAGGTGAGTTAAGGGCATCTGAAAAGATGGAGTGTAAACGGGTACTTTTAGCCTGGGTGCCTCTGAGAACTCTCATGCTGCTGCCATGTCTTTTTCTCCCACTGACTTTGTTCCAGTCACTATAATAAATAATGTACTTGCTCATTAGCAAGGTCTTGTCTGTTCTGTTCATTAGCATCCCCACCTGGACAGGTGCACATGCGGGCAAATATGGAAACTCACTTTGCTTTTGCCCTGTGCTTCTTGGATTACTCTAATATCACCCAGCTGGTGTTGGCCTCAGGGCAGAGGTACATAAACACACCAGCACAGACTGCTTGTTAGACAGCACCTCAGGGTAGTCATTTATTAACGGGCTATTCCAGGGCAGCATTAACTTTACTTAGGAGCCAGTAACGAGAAATACACTTCCAAAGGGGAACAATTTACTTTTGCAAAATTTGATTTCCAAACCAATATTTTCTTTATTAGTTTTAAGCATAGTTTCTCAACCATGGCACTAGTGACCGTTGTAGTGCAGAGCTCCTCCTTGTGTGTTTTTGGGGTGGGGTGGGGGGTTGGTCCTCATGCACACCTTGTGATGTTTAGCAGCATTCTTGGACTCCATCCATTTGATACCCATAGTGCTCACAACCTCTAGTCATGACAACCTAAAAAGATATTTGCAGACATTTCTAGATATTCCCTGGAGGACAAAAATCTGTCCCAGTTGAGAACCACCAATCTAGAATATTAGTCCATGAAAGGATAATGTCACCATATTCCTGTTAATATTTTATTTTCTGAAGTAAGGCATATGGGAAGAGAGCTTTGGTCACTATTTAAAGGTATAAAATCTTGGATATAGTATTGTTACACTTTATAAGTTATAGAGAATTTCAACACATCCACTTCATATTGAATATGTAAATACCCACATGTGAGACCACACATTTATTCATTTCGATTATGTCTGCCTTGGAAATGTTTAAGACCTTTTCACTCTGGGTTATTTTTCCAAGCTTTCTTTATAATTACACTAGGGAAAAAGTTACCTGGCATTAATCATAGCCAGACAGAGGACAGTGACACAGAGCTAGCATGAAGAAATATTTCTCTTAGAAATTCCTAGAGGGAAAACAAAAATTGATTAGGGAAAAAGTTCACTGAGTTTTGTTGAAAGGTGGAAAGATTGAAAACAAGTAGGGAAAATCCAAAAGCAATTTTTTTATATGTAATTTATATAAGGATAGCAAATGTTTAAGCCAACAGAAAGCTAGAACAGCTGTTTCAAATTCCGCATCAAAGTTATTTAGAAAACAAAATCTACCACAAGGTATCAAAATCATTTGAAGAATTGTGTAAAGCAGTCTGATTAAATATAGAATTCAATCTCAAAAAATGAAATCTCAACTGAGTCATCTTACTGGTAGGAGTGTAGAGATGTCATGCCTCCAGACGCTAAATGTAAACAAACTTTCCTGTAAGCTTTATTTCTGTTAACTCTCTAATGTTTTTAAAAATAAATTTCATAGAATTTTCAAAGTATTTTCTTTATCCCTGAGGATTTCATGAACTTCTTATTCC